CAATACCAACATGGGCCAGTGAAGCGACGTCCTCCATAACTAGACTGAAGAACAAAAGGACAGCAACTTGTCTGTTCCCCTTCCCCGATTCCCCCACACTGTTGCCTCCCCCAATTCCCCAATAAAATCTTTAAAAAAACCAACAAACAAAAACAGGACTAGATGTGATATATAGGGCAGGAAGTGGAGTCAGGAAGTGACGTGCAGAGCAGGAAATAGAAATAGCACCAGAGAGCAGAACATAGAATGGCAGATAGGACAGTAAATGGACTGTGAAAATATATATAGAAAGTGAAATATATTAGGAAATGACGTACATCAAGGAGGCAACAATTAGCACAGTCTTGATTTGGCAGAGCAGGAAACCATATTCCCACGAGGAAGTGGTGTGGGAACCAGGAAGCAGGAAAACTTAGGTCAGTTGTTGTCTTGGTGTGGAGAAGACCTAAGCTACCTAACTGGGAAAGGGCTGCTGGGATCAGGAAATGAGTATGAGGAGAACAGTAAATGTGCAGTAATCAAGAAAGATAGAAAGTGGTGTGGCCCTGGGAAGTTGTGTCACTCCTGACTAGAAAATACGGATAGGAGGTAAGAAGTTGTCTAACTGCGAGGAAGTGGACATTTCTTTCCAAACAGGAAGTTCTTGGCTAACAGGAATTGGAGTCCCCAACAGGAAGTGTGCATACCTTTCTATCTTCTGGGGTATGGGACCTTAGGTCCTGACAGAGACAGTGCAGCCACCATTTGCCCCAGGCTAACAGATCCTTCCCCTCTGGCCCCCAGGCTAACAGATCCTTCCCCTCTGGCCCCCAGGTCCTGAGAAGCTGCCATCACTGGAGCACCGGGACTCCCCTCGGCACCGAGGACCCACCTCAGCCAAGCCTAAAATGCTAGTTATCAGTGGAGGTGATGGCTATGAGGACTTCCGACTCAGCAGCGGGGGTGGCGGCAGCAGTGAGACTGTGGGCCGAGATGACAGCACAAACCACCTCCTCCTATGGAGGGTGTGACCCTGTCCACTGTGGCTCAGGACTTGTCCGCCCACCTGCCCTCAGCCTGCTTGCCTCTTCCTAGCCCACACACAGACTCTGCCCAGGAGTGCCCAACCAGGGGCACACCTGTGCCTGCATGGGCTCTTCCCATCCTTGCAGAAGCATTCCTGATGGAACACCTGTGGCCAGTGGGCCAAGGCCTTTCCCAATCCTCTGGCTGCTCCAATGCTCCCAGTCGTGATGGGGGTGGGGTGGGGGGCATGTGGGCTTCCCAGGACCTCTGTCCCAGGAGCTTCTACCAAAGACACGGCCGGGCCTAGACCCCATGAGGCTTGGGAGTGCCATGTGCAATATTTGGAGGGTTTTCTGGGGGCATTGGGAGGGCTAGGGGATGGAATCCTTTCCTATGTACAGTATTTATGTTTCTTTTTAGATGTGTACCTTCCCAAGCACTTATTTATGCAATGACCTGGGGCAGGGATTGGATGAAATGATAGAAGGAAGAAAACCCTATTCCTGCCCTGGGGGCCACCCAGGACCCTAACCAAGCCTTCCTGGAGGGACCAGTCCCCCCTTGTTATATACATACGCGCGTGTGTACACATACATACATACATACACACACACACACACACACACACACACTGCATGTTCAGGACACTAAAACACTGCTGCTTAACATACACTTTCCACAGCCTCATCCTGATTGGGCCACCCTTTGGTATCCAGAGCCAAGGACCAAGTCCCCTCAGTCATCCAGAACAAGATGATGACTTGGAGGGCAGTGACTCCCATCTGGCAGGCCTCCCCAGGCCTTACTTAGCATTTCCTAGTTTGTTGGCAGTGCCTTTGGTGGTTTCCACACTTGGGAACACTGATAGGGCCTTGGACAGGGCTCTCTCCTTACCTGAACAGGGAAGAGAAAGGGCCCGTGCCCTCCTCACAGTTGCCCCCCAGCCCTTGTCTCATGCACTGGCACATACGGTCACCTTGGGAGGGTGGACCTAGGAGCCTCCTCACTCTGACCACTGAATCCCTCTTTCACACCCTTCCTGCCAGAGGCAGCCCCTCCAGGAAGGACCCCAAAGCTGAGGGGCTGGACATGGTCTCTTCAATTGGGAACCACCCAAGGGCTGCCACCCCTGCATCTGGACTGCAGGAGCCAGTCTGAGCCCTAGCCCCCTTGCTGCTTCAGCTACAGCTCCAAAGGTCTGGTTTCAGATAGGGTTTGTTTGGTTCTGTTTTTGTTTGGGATGGGTGGGTCATTGCGGTCTTAGATTATGTTTCTCTTGCTACCAGTCATGTATTAACTTGCCTTGAATGATGAATTTTAAAGTCAATAAATAGGAACACCGAATTATTGTTCCCCATCGGCAGCCACAGTGGCCTACCAGCAACCTCAGGACTCCCCAGCTGTGTGGGCCTCCCGACACCCACTCACTTGGGGAAAAGGGAGGCCTCAGAGAACCAGAAGGGGGCTGGGATGGTGAGACTATCACTGACTTGCTGTGTTATCCCAGTCAGGTCACTGTCCCTATCTGGACTGCAGTTTCCTAATCAGGAAAACAAGGGGTTGTACTTTGTAAGCAGGGTTAGGTGTTAAAATTCCTTATAGATCCGTGTCTAAATATAAAGCATGATGCAATTATATGTCCATGTAAATAAACATTCCCAGGCTCCCCTCAACTTGTCAGCAGGTCTGGGGTGGTGCTTGGGAATCTGAAGCTGACATACACTGCAAGTAAAACACTAGGCAACTAACAAGCATGTCCACGTGTCCAGGAAACCATTCCCCAGCAAGACATCGTATGAAGCTGGGGAATCTGACAGACGCCAAGGTGAGTTCAGGCTTTGGAGCTGGGGTAAAATTCAAGTCTGTCAGATTTCTGGTCCAGAGAGGGTGCCGTTACACCAGACACAAGAATGCAAAGGCCAACAGTATGGGGCCAGTCTGTGCAGGAGCAGAGCCCTTTTTACCAGGATCCATCCCCTAGACCCTAGTAGACTACTAGAAAGGGGCGTAGCATGCATCCGCTCTGCTGAACACACGTTTGAACAATTTCCAACCTAAATGATGAAGATGTTACAAAAATCAATTGCTCAATGGAGAGTGCAGGCTCATGCTTTGCAAACTGATATACAAACATCTCAGGGCTCTGCTGGGCCCTCAGTGCCACAGGCCATGCATGGACCTGCAGCATCGCTGTACCTGGAAGATCTGGGGAGGAGCGGATCATATTAAACATATATCACAGAGTAGAAGGCAACGTTCATGTGGAATTTATGATGAAACAAAGCATTAGAAGGAGCACAGGCTTTGAAGCGGAACAGAAATCCT